CGTGCCGGCCCCGTTAGGCTGCGCCGGCCTCGTCACGCCGCACCGGCCCCTCTAGACTGCACCGGCCCCTTCACGCCGTGCCGGCCCCGTCACGCCGCACCAGCACCGTTACTCTGCAACGGCCCCGTCACAGCGCGCCGGCCGCATCACTCCTTGCCGGCCCCCTCACGCCGCACCATCCCTGCCATACGGCGCCGCGCCGAGCTGCCGAGCCGCTGCGCCACGCCGCCGAGCCGCTGAGCCGCACCGCCGAGCCGCGCCCCGCCGCATTGCCTCGCCGCCGAGCCGCCGAGTAGCCGAACCGCCGAGCCGCCGCGTCGCCGAGTTGCCGAGTCGCCGAGCCGTCGTGTTGTTGTGTCGCTCCAACCTGCCGACCTTCGTTCCCTCTTCTGTGCCGGCGCTCCCGCCGGCCGTCTCCACCGCTGCTCTCCACCGCCCTCTCCTCCTCCTCCCCTAGTGGCGATCAGCTGCTACAGCCGTGGCGATGGCGGGCGCTGTGCTTCGCCTGGACGCGGAGGGTCGGGCGATTGACTTTGAGGCGTGGCTCGCCGACCTCCGCCACTCGTTGAGGGGACAATGCCAGGATGGCCAGTCTCTGGCCGTCCACGTCGACGGTAAGATCCCCTGCCCCGACCCGCCTGGTGCCCTCTCTGATGCCCCCACGCCCTCTGAGCGTGAGGCCTTTGCAGCTGCTGAGCTTGCTTGCTCCGTCTGGGAGTCGCGTGAAGTAGTTGCGCAGCTTGCTATCAGTCGCGCCCTCCCCCTGTCTGAGCGCCCCTGCTACCAGGCCCTAGAGGCTGCGCAGGCGTACTTAGATGTTGTTATTGGATGCTATTCTACTCCCTCCTCCGCCTCTGCCTGTCGTCTCCTCCTCCCTCTTCTCTTCCCTGACCTTGCGCCTTTTCCCAGTGTCGCTGATCTTGCCACTCACTTCCGTGCACTAGAGACAAGCTACAGCGCTGCTAGCACTAAGGCTCAGCTCCTTGTACTGCCACCCCCCATCGGCGCTACCCTCTACTTCCTTGCCACTTGCCTTCCTGACAGCCTAGCCACTGCTCGCGACCACTTCCTTGCCCTCCACCTTGCTGACCTCACCCTCACTGACTTTGTTACTACCCTGACCGGAATAGAGACCCGCCAGCGCACTATCGCTCAGTCGAGCGGTACTGCGGCGGCCCCTATCTTCCAGGGCTGTGCTCCCTCCCAGTGCACTTACTCTGACGTCTTTTGCCGCTGTTGCTAAGACGGCCCCTGCTGCTGAGACCGCTACGGTAGCCTCATCGCAGCCTCGTCAGGGTAGGGGACGCCAGGCCCAGGAGGGTGGGGGGGGTGGCGGGGGTGGCGGAGGTGGCAGAGGTGGTGGAGGGGACGGTGGTGCAAACAAGGGGATCAGGGTTGGTGCCCAGGAGCAGCAGCCTCATCAGCAGCAGCACCCTCAGCAGCAGCAGCAGTCGTCGTGGGCGCCCCCGCCGCTGTGGTGGACTGGCAGTTCTGGTGGTGGTGGGGGGCGCATCTCGGTGTTGGGTGGCGGATCCAGTGCCCTCACTTGCCAATACCAGCTTCAGTCTGGCCCCCACCGCGGCACCGTCTGTGACCGCCCCGATCACAACACCGCACGCTGCTACCACCGCCTCGACGACCTCTTCCGTCTCCGCTTCGGCCCCATGGCGGACCCCCCCGACTGGTACAGCCTGGTGCGTCGTCGTGTGCCTGTCTTTGAGATGGGCATGGATCAGATTAGGTCTGCTTTGTATGCCATGTATGTTGATGAATCTAGTGTGACTAGACCCTATTATCCGGTGTTGCCTAGCGTAGGTGTGTCCCCTGTGTATAGTCTAGTTTCCTTTGCTGCGTAACGCGTAGGACCCCCTACCTTCTTTAGCCTAGGCTCCACGCTAGCCCCTCCACCGGCGGACGCTATTGCTTCGCTCTCCTTCACGCTCGACTCTGGAGCGTCTACCTGCTTCTTTCGCGACCACACTTTGCTCACACCTCTTGCCGCCCTTGCTGCTGTCGCGCTTCTTGACCCCTCCTCAGGCCCGGTAGTTTCCCGTAGCTCCACCACCCTTCCCTGTCCAGCGGTCCCCTCGGGTTCTCTTACAGGCCAACACATCCCCTCGTTCTCCAGGAACCTAGTTGGTGTCGACTGTCTTCAGGACATCGGCGTCACCACTACGTTCCTTGGTCACAAGTGGTACACGGTCTGTACCGAGGCTGCCACTGGTACTCCTTTGACCGCGTTCCCCGGGGAACCTGTGTCTGGCATGTTTACGCTTGACACTGCGTCCCCCCCGGTAAGGGCGTCCCCCTAGGTGTCTGCGTCGACCCAGGTCGTAGCGGCTTGCTTGTGTTGGTCGCTCACTCACCTGTCGCTGCTGTGGCACCACCGCCTAGGTCACCCCGCACTCCCGCGTCTGCGTCACATGTCCCAGCATGGTCTTGACTTCGGTCTCCCTGTGTCGCTCCCTGCCCTTCCTCCCTCGCCTGCGCCGCCGTGCACGCCTTGGGTCGAGGGTCATCTGCGCCGTGCTCCTCACTCCTCTTCGCTTCCCCCTACCAATGCGCCACTCCAGACCTTGCACCTGGACGTCTGGGGCCCAGCCCCCGTCCCTTGGACGCGTCACGAGCGCTAATTTCTAGTGCTTGTCGACGACTTCACGCGCTACACCACGGTGTTTTCCCAGGAGCGGAAGGCCGACGTGCCTAACGTTCTTATCCCGTGGGTCATAGCTGCGCGAGTCCATCGCAGCCTCCCTGTGCTGCGTCTCCACTCCAACCATGGCAGCGAGTTCGCCTCCAGTCGGCTTGGCCAGTTCTGTCGTGCGGAGGGCATCACCCAGTCGTACACCCTGCCGGACTCCCCGCAGCAAAATGGGGTAGCTGAGCGATGCATTGGTTTGGTCATGGAGGTGGCTCGTACCTCCATTATCCATGTCAGTGCACCCCATTTTCTGTGGCCATTCGCTGTTCGCTACGCTGCTCACCAGCTTAACCTGTGGCCGCACTCCCAGCGGCCGCAGGTTTCGCTGAGCCTTCTCTAGACCACGTTTCGTAGTGACGCGCCTGCGTTCTACGTCTGGGGCTGCCTTGCTCACGTTTGTGCCTCTGGCACAGAGAAGCTCACTACCCGCACTGTCCCCTGTGTCTTCCTTGACGTCCCCCTCGACTCGTCTTAGTGGCACTTTTATCACACGCTGTCTCACCGCTTCTTTCACTCGCGTGACGTCACTTTTGATGAGTCTGTCTCCTTCTACCACCGCTTTCCCCACCAAGGTCTCCCGGTTTCCCCGCCACTGTTTTTGGTTCCCACTCCCCCGGTAGCCCTTGCTCCTCTCCCTCCCCATCCTGCCTGTCACAGGATCGAATGTGTCGAGGAAAGGTTTGCTCAATGTTCCACTATCAATCCGTACAAGGTGCTTTTATACTTCCATAGTACATAAGGTAACCAGGTTTATCCTATCCAAAGGGAATAGACCCTTCTAGAAATAGAATCACCCTGCGTATAGCCACGCGAGGCTATTGGCTTTAAGGGATTACGGCAGGATTACGCTAGATATAGCGCGCTAGTACATCCCGAGCCTGGTCGGTGATATAATTATAATAACATGATAAACCAAATGAGATGAGATAAAGACCAAATGAATCACGAGTGAAAGAGGAATGAAATAGATAGGAAATATGGAAAGGGGAAATTGGTGTAACGGGGTCATAATCTCACACTGCCCCGTCTGGTGTGTCTCACGTCACTCCCCTCCCGTCGGTTGTCACGGTCGAGGAGTTAGCTAACCTTGGTGGCCCCGCAGCACCGTTCTCGCCGCCTGTCTCCGCCCTGGTGTCTCCTCCTCCGCCGTCGTCGCAGCAGCAGCCGTCGCCGTTGTCACAGCCGCAGCAGCAGCCGCAGTCGCCGCCGCCGCAGCAGCAGCCGCTGCAGGGGTCTGCCAGCTCTGGGGGTGTGGGCGTTGAGCAAGGTGCTAGTCTTGGGGTTACTGTTGTGGCTTGTCCCGGCGGTCCTGGGGGTGGCACCAGTGCTGGGGAGGGTACTCGCTCTAGGGGTGCTGGTTCTGGGGGTGCTAGTCCTGGGGTTACTTTCGTGGCTTGTGGTGGTCCTTGGGGGGGCACCGGTGCTGGAGAGGGTTCTCGTTCTGGGGGTGTTGGCGTGGAGAGTCCCGGAGGCAGCCGTTGTGCAGGTGGAGGTTCTGGTGTCGGCGTGCATCAGCAGCAGCAGCAGCAGTCGCCGCCGGTGTCTGCCCTTTGCCTTCTCGGTCTTCCCTCCCCTGACCACCCACTTGTGCCTCCCCACCAGCCTCTTCCCCTGCCTGTCTACGGCCCTGTGTTTCCGCTGCCGGACTCGTCTCTGGCTCGTTTCCCCCCTCGTTCTTCTCCTCTGTCTCCTGACTCGACGCCTCCGTCCCACTTGTGGTCTCACCTCCCTCTCGTGCTCGTCCTGTCTCTCCTGTTCAACGCTCTCATCCTATGTTTCTCGTGTCTCTATTTGCTTGTGCCTAAAGATCATCAGCGGCACTGTGTACAGCTTGGTCTAGTTCCAGTAGCTCCTCACTTGCTAGGACCTTGATTGTGTACTACTCTTATTATATTCTCCTGACTGACCTTGTGGCTTTTGCTCCAGTGGCCGGACTAATAGTGCCGCCCTGGTTTGCTCGTCTTGTTTATACTCTTCTGACTGGTCTTCAGACCCTTGCCTCATAGGTTGGACTAGTAGTGCTGCCCTGAGCTGCATGTCTCTTGCCAGGCACCGCCCCTTGTCTAGCCTAGGGGGTGTGTCAACATATAGTTGTATACCGTTATAGGCTAGGTGCATGCTCATAGAGGGTACAAGACCATAGCACAAAACCTTCCTGTATGGCACAATCTAGTTCATTGCGTTATTCTAATAGTTGGACTAGAAGTGCCACCCTGTGCTGCATGTCTTTTGCCAGTCACTACCCCTTGTCTAGCCTAAGGGGGTGTGGTAAACATATATGCATATAATATTATAGGCTAGATAGGTACATGCTCTTAGAGGGTACAACATTCTAGTATAAAATCACTCTGTACCCTCCAATCTAGTCAATCTGTTACTCTGAGAGTCACCATATAACAAAAAGTTGTACTGTACCTCAAACTACACGGTATCGCCTCTGGCCAGTGTACTTCCCAGTTCCTATCCGACATGAGCATAATGGGATGGAAGAATGCCATTATTGGATAAGATGCATCCCATCCTATGGGCTAGAGGTAGCAGGGCAATACAAAGCTAAGCAGAGGGAAGGGGAGCATAGCCAGCAGGCATGAGCCGTTGTCGGAGGGGCTGCACCACACGCTGCTCAAGCCACTCCATGTTGCTCTGCACCCAGGGGGGCCTCGCTGCCACAGGCGTCACAATCATGTAGAGCAGCAGCCCAGCGACAAACACCAGCACAATGAGAAGGACCACCGCCCACCACCAGAAGGTGGCATGCGAGGGAACTGCAAGGCGCAAGGGGCAGTGGGGGAGAGAGCAGGCAGGTTGACATGGGAGACAACGGCAACAGGTCAGGCGTGGTTGGAACACAGTGATGCATCTGAGCCAGAAACGCAAAATAGCTGCAATTACTTCAGATTGGCTGCTGCACTGAGCCAAGGGAAGGTTGAAAGTCCAGATGCCCATGTGGTCGATGGCACATACCCAGCAGCACATGCACATGGTAAGTGGTGGACGAGTAGCCTTCACCCTCCACCACAACATCAGCCTCAGCACGTGCCACAGCAGCGCCCTCCTTGGTGTCCTGCCACTTGAGCTGTGGGCTGGCGGTGTTGTTGGGCACCGCATCACCGTTCACATGCACTTCCAGCGACTTGCACTGCTCCTCCTGAATGCCACAGCGGAGAGGAGGGGAAGGGCGGGAAGAGGGGGGGGGGGGAACCGGGGAAGAGGGAAGAGGAGAAAAATGAATGGCACAGCGGAGAGGAAACGGATTGAAGAGGCGGGTGAAACGGGTGGGGGAGAAGAGTCAAGATCAGACGAGGAGTCAAGATCAGACGAGGAGTCAAGATCAGACGAGGAGTCAAGATCAGACGAGGAGTCAAGATTCAGAAGAAAAGCCGGTGGCACGGTTGCATGGAAGCAATTGGCGACCACTGGTAGATTCGCTCACTGGAACGAACGATAAGACAGCACGGACGGTGAAAGGGGCAGCAAACATACCCCGCACAGCATGGGCGTTAGTGTGACGTCCCGTGAGGGCACGGTCACGTTGTAGCTGGTCACGTCCGCCGCGAAGCGCGGCGCCAGCAGCTCTCGCGGCCGCCCCTCCACTCTCACGATCAGATCGCTCAGGCGCGCAGGGGCAGGCGGGGGAGGGGAAGGCGGGGGGGGAGAAGGGGGAGGGGAAGGCGGAGGTGAAGGGGGTGGAGAGGGGGGCGGAGGAGGTGACGGTGGGGGAGATGGGGGGGGGCTTGGTGGGGGGGACGGTGGACGTGGGGATGGAGGCGGGGGGGGGGAGAGGGGGGCGGGGGGGAAGGGGGCGGTGGAGGGCTTGGGGGAGGCGGGGGCGACGGTGGTGGCGGAGATGGAGGAGGGGGAGAAGGCGGAGGAGACGGAGGCGGTGGCGATGGCGGAGGTGGAGAAGGAGGTGGCGACGGTGGGGGGGATGGCGGAGGTGGAGGCGATGGCGGGGGAGGGGGAGGCGGCGATGGTGGGGGTGGAGGTGGCGACGGCGGAGGGGATGGCGGTGGCGGCGAGGGGGGAGGTGGTGTCGGAGGGGGGGATGGAGGCGGGGATGGAGGCGGGGATGGAGGGGGTGGTGGGGGGGGTGGTGGCGCGGATGGTACAGGCTGCGGACTCGGAGCGGGTGCATCTGCGCGCGCGAATTCATCGCTCCATGCGGCGGCGGAACTTGCGTGCGACGACTGCCCTCGTAAGAGCGCGAGCAGCGACGTCCATCCGCTGCTACGAGACCCGGCGCCCCCTCGCGCACTGGGACGGCTCAGCTCCTCCGAGTCCAGAAATGTATTGCCATCTGGACGCAAGACCGCACCGACGGAGAAGAGCGCGGCGGGGGAGGAGTAGAAGATAAGGAGGTACAGCACAAGCAGCCTCGCGAGGCATGGAACATTTCTTGACCGGAAAACCATGCCTGGATTTGTGGCGTGAATCCCCACGAAACCTCGTGGGATAAGTGGACGAATGCCACAAGCGGAAGCCAAATACTGCCTAAGGGAGAGGAGAGGAGGGGGTGGTTCTGTCAGGGCGTGTCCCAAGAGTGCGTTCCGCATAAAACGTTTGCGGTGGTACGGTGCAGCACGCTGAGAGACGTTTTTAATCTGAACCGCTTCGAAACTTAGGGCACCATATTTGACCTATGCAGACCGTACGGGGGACGAACTCTTGGGACACGCCCTCCGATACGAGATTAGCCACAGCATGAGGCGCGGAAAAGCGCCTTGCCAAGAACCAATCGGTGGAGTGCTGCATGGGCGAATCACCTCGCAAGGGGAGATTCATGTCATGACAAATGAACAGCAACCACGTGGGATACAAGCAGAAAGATGCGTACTCTCACGAGGTTCCTCGATATTATTTCAGAGATGTAAACGTACACTCCACCAACGAGTAGGCAACAGATACAAGACATTGTCTGTAGCATAAGTGTCAGTGACCCTTTCTCGAACTTCCCCAAATCCCCCCGCGCCAATTTTCGTGCGAATGGGCGGTGTTGATGCACAATTTGGTGCAGCCTTGCTGCTGGGCTGAAGCTCACAGACGGGCGCAAGACGTGGCTTCCAAGGGAGAAAATTTGCGCACGGAAATGCGGACTCCGCGCTCCGTCCACGGACACATCAAATGCGACACGGAACACATGTTACCAGAGTAAATTACCTCTTTAATATTGTAAAGTGATGGCACTTTTTACACCGTAGAAATGGCTATTTGTTAACGATTTCGCTGCAATATGCTGAGACGGATAAGCAATACTGCGAGTCTAAAAAGCGGAAAGCAGCCCGCTAATAACTAACGGATTTGGGGTAGGCATACTCGGATGTTGGGTGGACGTGAAAATGCGCCCCCACCTTACGCCTTCCCAACATTGAAGCACCAAGCATAACGTCCAGGGTGGTGCTACGAGGTTCTGATTACAGGCATAACTAGTTTCTTCTAGCCAGCATAGGCACGGATACATTATATACTAGGTTCAGGTTTACGATCAGGCGTGGCACTGTGCGCTAGTGCTCTTAGACCAGCGAATGTAAGTCGAGATGGCAGCAGAATGGCTCTGGCTGGAACCGTCGTGGCAGGACGGTAGTAGCGGGTGGGGCAGCGGAGGAGGAAGCAGCAGAAGCAGCAACGAAGGGACCAGGGACTGCTGCTGCCAGCCGTCTGACCACACCGACTCGACCAGTGAACCCAAGGAGGTGCGCTCGCCCTTTCGCTCGCCAGCAGCAGCTTTCCCCATCTACCATGAAAGCTGAGGCGCATAGGAAGTCAAGAGCAACTTTCGCATGGCGTAGAATGGCAGCACGCTCGCGTTGAAAGCAGCTCAGTCGTTCACACCTCCCGATCGCGTTGCATCGCACCTGGCAGGTGACCGTCGTCAAGACGCGGTTCGGGCCCATTCACGTGACGATAGTTGGCGACAGGAGCAAGCTACCGCTTATCACGTATCACGACATTGGCATCAACCGTGAGTTGGTCATCGCGAGATGGAGTGGCGGGAAGAGGGAGGGGGAACGGAAAACTGGGAAACGGCGAACTGAGGAGAGGCTTAGCTGGACTGCCGCTGGAACTCCTAATCTTTCTGATCCACGCGCCATCTCTTCCTTGCACGCCTCCGTGTTTCCCCCTTGCGCGCAGACGCGCTGTGCTTCGGTCCGCTGATGCACTGCCCCGACACGGCGCCCATGCTCCGCCACCACTTCTGCTTCTTCCACGTCGACGCGCCCGGTCACCAGGTGGGCCGCGCGCTCTAGGTTGTGACGACGAATGCGCCGTGCGTGCGAGGGAGGGGAAGGGCGGCGGGGCTGGAGCTAGGGCTTGATTGTTACGCAATGCTATTGCTCCTGCATTCATTGGGCGCAGTTATCACCTCCTTTCCCGCCCCCCCCCCCCCCTCCGCACAGGAAGGCGCGCGGCATCTGCGCGGATCCGCGTCACACTACACGGCGCAGGACATGGCGGACCAAGTAGCTGACGTCATCAACTCGCTCGGGTGCGACATGGCTACCGCACACGCCACAATGCCCGCATCGCTGCAACTTGCCATGCGTCGGTCCAGCGCGCGAGGAATAGTCGTAGCGACCCACGGTTGGGCCACTGGCGCAGCGCCATGGCGGACCCTGCTCGCGCCGCTGCTCGCGCCGCTGCTCGCGCCGCTGCATCGTGCACCCCGATCCTGCATCGCCACTGCATTGCCTGCCCCGGCTTGCCGTGCCCTCGCACCCTTCCCGCGCCAGCCCTCCTTGCTGCCCCTCTCCCGTACATTCCCACTCTTGAGCCATCCCCTGCACACTGTCCGCTCACTAACCGTTGCTCCTTCCCCTGCTATCTCCCTTGCCATGCGCCTGCCCTCCCCCTTCCCTTGCCATGCGCCCCGTGACAGGTTAGTGGATGTGACGTGCATGGGCGTCACGGCGGGCGCGTACATCCTCACGCTGCTCGCTGTACGATCCCCATCCCGCCCCATGTCACATGTCCCCGCCTGCTGCCTTCCCCACTGCCGTCCTCCTCCCTCATTCCTTCCTCCTCACCTGAAGAGTCTATTTTTGAGGCGCCTCAAAAATAGATTCTCGTTTCCTTTGCATCACCCACTCGCTCTGGTTTCACAGATCGTGCTACCTCGCCCCTTCACACCCGCCCTTGTTCTTTCTCCCCCATCTCCCCCCCCCTCGCCTGCGCTCGTCTCCCCGTCGCTCCCCGCCTTCCCCACCGCCAGCTGCGCCATCCGTGCCTCGTGCGCTCGCTCATCCTCGTCTCGCCTCTCTGCCGCCCGCCCTCCTGGGCCGAGTGGGCCGCTTCCAAGGTACGCCTCCCTCACCGTGCCGCCCCTGCCCTGCTGGTCCGCGTCTCACGCACCCTCAATCCCCCACACACTCTCGTTGAAGGGGCTTCCCAAGTCGAACCCCTCCCTTCCTCCTCCCTCCCTCGCCCGCGCCCTCCCCTCCCCCGCCCCCTGGATCAGGTGCTGGTGTCGTCGCTGTCCCTGGTGGGCGCTGCGTCCACCGTGGCGTCCGCGGCCCTCATGCAGCGATACGTCCCCCTCGCGGTACGCCGCGCTCTCTGCCTTGCTCGCGCGTAGACCTTGCACTTACTGCCGCAACGCATCGTCCCCGCCTTTAGTCTGAGTGCCGCTCAGCCATGGCCCCTGCTGCACGCAGCGCCGTTGCTGCCGTGATTGTTCCAACGTTCAAGCGACTCGCCTCACCCCACAGCACAAACCGCCATCTCCAGTCCCTTTCTACTTGTTACCTTTCCCACCTTTTCTACCTTTTCCTTGTACGCCTCCCCTCCTACCAACAGCGGACCAAGCCCAATCAACGGCCGTCCAGCCCACAGCTCACAGCCATTCAAGAGGTACCACGCCATGCCATGCCACCATGCCACGCCATGCCACGCCATGCAATAGCTGTCGTTGCCTTATCTGCCCCATGCCTGCACCGTACATCCCCAAGACTCGGCGAACCTGGGCCTGCGTGCCATTGACACACTACACGGCTCTTGACCTCAAATCCCGTTCTCCCTACTGCAAACTCCTTCCCCCCCCTCTTGCGTCCGTTCCCTGCTCATCCACGTGTGCGTCATGCGCGTGTGCTGCGTTACGCGTGTGCGGCATGCGTGCTGTGGTTTCCTCCAGGGAATGCGGGGAATGGCAGCGGACGCCATGGTGCAGTACATCAAAATCATGGGCCAGTGAGTGCTCACGCCATGCGTGCACGCGTTTCCTTGCATTTATCTCACACCATGCTTACCACACCCACCTCACTCCCTCACCCGCCCCCCCTTCTTGCTCTCCTCTGCCCCCCTCTCACGGGGGTTCGTCCATCTGCCTTTCGCCCGGCTAAATGAAGCCCCCCTGACTTCCCTCGCATCCCCTTGGCCCCCGCCCCTCCTGTGCGCGCAGGCGCAGAGACCTGACGGGGCTGCTGAGCGGCATGCGGTGCCCGTGCCTGGTGGTGGTGGGGGAGCTCTCGCCCTTCAGGGACGACGCGCTGCACCTCCGCGCGCACCTGCCACGCGGACTCGCTGCCTGGTTCCAGGTACACTCATTGCCATGCCATGCCATGCCATCCCATGCGGTGTCATGCCATGTGGTGTCATGCCATGCCATGCCATGCGGTGTCATGCCATGCCATGCCATGCCATGTGCTGCCTGCCATTCACCCCAGTCCGCTTTAGTGAACCCCACTGCAAGCCATTCCATTGTCCTATTCTTACCCTCCCTCCGCTTATCCACCCGCCCAGTCACCATCCTCCATCTTCTCCCTCTCTCCTTCCCTCCTATCATTCCCGCCCCCCCCCCTCCTCTCTCTCCCCCTCCTCCCTCCGCGCGACCAGGTGCCAGCGAGCGGGTCTGTGACAACGAGGGACTGCCCGCACCGGCTGTTAGACCCCCTGCACAAGTTCCTCTCCTCCTGCGGCTACTGCCTCTCCTGCCCCTCCTGCGCCCCCCCTTGCACACCCCCGGACTCCACCGCGCCCACGCCCCTCTATGCCTCCCCCTCCCTCTCCTCCCCTTGCTCCTCCGTCTCCTCCCTCTCGTCCTCCTCCTGCTGCTGCTCCTGCCTGTGCTCCCTCTCCTCCCCCCGCACGCCCCTCGCCCCGACCTTTCGCCCCGAGGACCTGTCTCTAGCGGCCCAAGGCAGCAGGTTAAAGCCCATCCGCACCAAGTGGGACGGCAGGGGGATGAGCAGCAGGGGAGGTGGCGGTGATGCGAGGGGGGGATGCACTGGAGGGGCTGTGTGCGGTGGGGATAGACCACAATTCGCATGGTGCTGACAAGAGGGGGAATGAGAGGAGTCGAAGTCAGAAATGGAGCAGAGACGGGGAGAACGAGAGAGCATTCTATGGCAATAATGTGGCCAGGACGAATGTCTTGGTCACGAGAGTAGCTTGAGGGAGACTCAAGTACTGGTGGTATCTGGAAGGCGCACGAATAAGCAGCTCAGGGGAGGCTGCAGCACGGCAGCCATGACACACACGGTGCTATGCTTCCAAGAGCGTCGTGACACATACGCGTACACAGGGGTCAGGCCGCCATACACACTTCTCAAGTCCTAGGTTCAAGAGGAAGCAGCCATTCTTTATGCACGCGCTAACTGAGACCTGCTGTCTTAAGGTTTCCTCCCTGACTGGCCATTTTGCCTCTCGTTCATAAGATTGGGTCATTTCTGCTAGTGGATGTGGATGCATCAGCGAACGATTGGTAAGATGCTAGAAACGTTGAATTGGGGCTCATTACCCAGATGCATGAGGCATGCACAGCGGGCAGTGGTGGTGAGAACCATGATGCACTGACCTGACAACCCCACCCACTGGCAGCCACTGGCAGCCACTGGCGTGCTCTCAGTCATGAGGCTCCTGATGTGGCCCCCTCAATTCACACATCGTGGCCTGTCTGGCGCTCAGCGTGTTTTCTAAACAAAGGCCACGACGATGCAAGGGAAAATGGTGGCAGCTCACAATCGCATCTGAACTGAACCCCCAGAAAGACACATGTGCCGGCGCGCGCTCGCACAGCAGACAGGCGCACACCACTCAGTGCTGCAGTGCCCTCAGCGCCGTGGCAGCAGCAGCCCGCCTGGCGGCCTGGCCATCCAGCACAGAGCAGGGCACACCCGGCAGCAGAGCAGTGGCGGCTGCCACCGCCACACACCGCCCCTCCACCTCCACTGCCGCCCGCACCACCTCCACCTCTTCTGCCATCCCCTGCACCTCCTCCACCCTCCCGGCTGCTGCCTCCCCTCCCCTTTCACCCCTCTCTCTAGGCTTATCCTCCCATGCCTGTACGCTCCCTCCTAACCCTGATGATGCTGGTGATGCTGATGCTACTGATGGTGACTCATGGGATTGGGATTTGAATGCTGGTGCCAACGGCGATAGCGATGGTTGTGCTGCTGATGCTGCTGATGGTGATAGTGGAACAAATGCTGGGGCTACTGGTGATGGCGATGGCGGCTGTGCTGCTGTTGATTGTCCTGACTGTGGCACAAATGCTGGCGCCCACGGTGACAGCGACGATGGTGCTGGCAAAGGTGGTACGGCAGTGGATGCCGACCCCTGCTCAGCCATGCGCATGAGCGCGGGCAGGCATGCAGCAGGGATGCGATCCGTTGTCATTTTGATCTGAGTGCACGGCACATGGAGGGCCATGGCAGCAAGGGAAACCAGCTTGTGAGGACAGGCAAGCTAGAACGCCAGTGTGTCAGAAGGAAAGCATGGCACAACACAGCACCACACACAGACTCTCTCGTGCACCAATCCCCACTCTGCACCGATTCCGTCACTATCCCATACACCTCTTTCCCCATCCGTTCCTCATTGCCTATCCCTCTTCTCTTTTGCCGAACTACCCACCCCTCCCCCCCTTCGCCCGTTGCTCCTTCCCCCATCCCCTTGCCCCCTCCCGCCCACCTGCAGTGGCCACTGTTTGCGCGTGCACAGGTGCTGCAGCTCCGTCATGGGGTGGGGCGGACAAGGGCACGGGGGGAACAGCGGGAGCAGATGCGGCAGGAACACCTGCACAGCACACGGCGCACAGGGGGGAGGAGGGAGACAACGGGGAGAAATACGAGATGTAATTAGTAATGGAGCACGCATGTCAATTTCTCGCTCCTCTCCCCCTTCGTCTTCCTGCCCTCCCTCCCTCGTTTCTCTCACCCCTGATCCGACCCTCTCCGCGCGCCCACCTGCCACACGGCAGCAGTGTGCCTGTGCGCATCCATGAACACGGCGCCCGCCAGCGCCTGCACCAGCTCCGACAGCGCACGCGGGGCGCTCACCACCCACTGCACCGCCACGCCCTCCGCTCCCTCCACCCCTCCTCCCCGCCCCTCCCCTGCTCCTCCTTCCGCCCCACATCCCCCCGCTGCCCGATCATTGAGGCCGCGCACCTCCCCATGCGCGTGTGCTGCCGCCACTGGGGGCGGTGCGAGGGACGCGTGGAAGGCGGCGATGTGGCGTGCGGGGAGAGGGGCGGCGGTGCGGTAGTGGCGGTGCAGACCCGATGAGATGGCGAGAGCAGCCAGGGACTCGTGGGATAGCACGTGCTGTTGCGGTGTGGTGTGGTGCCGTGCCGTGCATTGTGTTGGTCCATTCCGCACATGGGTGCATCCATGCATACATGGGGGAATAGAAGGAAGAGCGTGAGAAAAGGGCAGGGAGACGGAGGGGGAGAGGGCAGAGACATCCGAAAGAGTGGAATGGAGAAAACCAAAGAGGGGTGGGAAACGCAGAAGAGGCAGAACCATGTCATCCGCCATGTTCCCCATCCGATCCCATCACATCACATCACATGCCACCTCGCCCCATCCCATGCCTTCCCATGCCACCTCACCCCATCTCATCCCATGCCATCCTACGCCAAAACACCACACCCCATCCCATACGATCCCACCCCACGCCACCCCATGCCATGCCATGCCACCCCATGCCATGCCACGCCACCCCATGCCATGCCATGCCAGCTCACCTGCTTCAGCGCACTGACGTAGTGCAGCATCTTCCCACCCTCCTGTGCGTGCCCCGCGTGCCCGTGTGTGCCCATCACGCCATGGCGCACGAGGCAGTACTCCAGCACCGCGTTCCCCACGCAGTACAGCCGCTCAAACGTCCACGCCCTCCCCCCCTCCCACAACGCCTCCTCCCTCAACCTCCCATCGCCGCCACCTGCCTTTTCTTCTCCCTGCGTGTGCTCCTCCCCACCATCATGCCCCCTCCCCCCCCTTGCACCATGCTTCTCTGCACTCCGGCCATCCCCACCCCTCTCACTAACCCTATCCCTCGCTTGCTCTCCCTCTCTCCCTGCTCCCCCTCCCCCACTCGCCCATCCCCCTCTACCTCCGCCTGTTGCTCCCTCGCCTCCCCCCCTCCCCCCCTTCCCCGCCCTGCCTGTGCCGCTCCCACCGCTTGCGGCGCTGCCAGGTGTACCGCGCCTGCTGCCACGCATGCTGCTGCTGCACCGACGGGTGGGTGAGCGCCAGGTGCAGCCACGCCTTGCACGCAAACACGTGGCCCAGCGCCCTCTCTGTGTCCCCCAACCAGTCCTGCCATCCATTGCCCTCGCCCTCCTCCCTTCCCTTCCTTTCACTCGCATCCTCTCCTTCCCGTCTTTCCTGCCTCTCCCCCACCCCCTCCCCTTGCACTCCCAAAGCCGCCTCATGCTCCTTCCTCTCTCCGGCTTTAGGTTGCAACTTCGCCCCTTGCCCATCCCCTTCTCCCCCCAACGGCCCAAGTGTGCGCGCCAGTGTGCACTCACCCGTGCCTTGAGGCGCCTCAAGAAACGACCTGTGTGCGTGCGGATGCGAGCACACACATGCACACACCGCCCTCTCGTCCTCCTCGCTCCCTGTGACCTGCGCACCTTCTCCCGACCCCCTTCTCCCCATTTCTTCCCCATTCTCTCTTTTCTCTTGCTGCTCCTGCTGTTGCTCTTCACTTCTCCCCACTGCCACGCCCGTGCTTCCATGTGTACATGAGCAGGGCACGGCGCATGCAGCATGGCACGGCACCACACCCATGTGGCACAGCACGTGGGATGCTGCTGCCTCGCCCCCCCCACCCGCCAGCACTGCACCCACCACCGACTCCACACTGTCCGCACACACCCCCTCACTCACTCCCACGGACACACTCGCCGCCCACCACTCCCCACCTCCTGCATCTTCCCCCATCCCCTGTCGCCCACCCAGCCACACCCCCTCACCCACCCCGTCCCTCTCACCATGCACATACTGCTGGTCAGCAAGACTGCCCGTGCTGCTCCCTCCCCTGGCACGGCACGTGCATCCGTGGCCGCACTCCCTGCCGTCCATGCTGCCATCCCCACCCGCACCATGCCCCTCTCCCCTCCACTGCCCTCTCACGCATGCCAGCAGAGGCCCCTCGTGCTCGCAACAAGCACGCCCACGCTGCCCTGACGCATCATCAGAAGACGCCACGGCACCACCCAACGCCAGCATGCCACCTGTCCCTGACTGCACATCCGACTGCCCTACCCCATGTGCACCCCTTGCCCTGTCGACATCCTCTCCTTTCCCCTCCTCCTGCACCCTACCCTCCCCCCCTTCTCTCCCCTCTCTCACCTCTCTTTGCTCCAGTCTCCCCTCGCTCTCCCCCCATCCCCTTCCCCACTGCTCGCAGCACCATCTTGCCCCATTTGCTTCCCCTCCCCCTCCCCCTCCACCTTTCCCCCGCGGCAAGGGTAGGGGGAGGAGAGGAGAGGAGAAGGGGAGAAGACGGAGGAAGGGGGGGAGGCCGTAAGCACGGGCGCATGCAGCGAGGCAGCGGTTGGGGACCACTTGCTTAAGGGGGGGGGGTGGAGGGGCAAAGGGGAAGGAGCAGAGGGTGGGATGGAGAAAGGCTAAGTGAAGGGGCATGGAGGGGGGTGATCAGATGGTGGCGAGGGCATGCATGGTGTGAAGAGGAAGGGAAAGGAGCGGCATGGCAGGACACGGGGAAGCGGTGAAGTGGCAAGGCATGCAGCAGCACGGCACCCCCCACCCCACCTGCATCATGAGGCCGGCAGCATCGAGGCCTGCCGTGGGGTGCAGCAGCAGCACGCACAGCGCCGCAGCCACCTTCAGAAAGGCGTCACCCAGCAGCTCCAGGAGAGGGCGGGTGATTGGGGGGAGCGAAGATGGAGGGGCGCGGAGGAGGAGCGGGGAGGGGGTCGGTGATGGTGGGGGGGTGGATCGTGGCATGGGGGATGGGAGAGGAGGGGGGTGAGGAGCCCAAGGGGGGTAGATGGTGCGGAGGTCCCCAATGCATGCGGATGGGGGGGTGATGGCCTGCCAAGCAATGTGCGTACGGTGAAAGGCAGACGCGTGGGATTAGATGAGACTTTACAACGAATGCAAAGCAGAGCGGAGAGACGAGGGCAGGAGCACGCCTCTGGTTGCATCCACCAACATGTACCCCCGAGAGTCCCATCCAAATGCGCGTGTACTTACAGATGATGGACTCGCGCGCATGCAACTCGCACCTCACCCTTCTCCAAAGTGCTCTCGCCCCGACCATGCCCTCACCGTGCGCAGCAGCGGGAGATGCAGCGACGGCAGGTGCAGGGAGCAGGCTAGCTCCCACACGCACAGCAGGTCAGCAATGTGCCAGAGAGTCAGCGGCAGCACCGCTGCTGCGCGCACCCATGCTGCGCTGATGGGGCTGCTGGCACCGGGCATGGGCGCAGGTAGAGGGGCGGGCGATGCAGCAGGGCTGCTGCGTGTGTTGCACGGGTTGGCGGCGGTGGAGCGATGCTGGGGGAGCGAGAGGAGCAGGGAGCACAACTCAGCAGGGACAACGATGCGGCGGCAGGGGGGAGGGGACGCAGAAGAGGAGGAGGATGGCGATGGTGCAGAGGCGATGAGACGAGCCATGGCTGGCGCCTGAAAGGGTGCGGCAATGGGAAGAGGGAGAGATGGAGAGATGAGCAGGCTGCCATGTCATGGCCTCTCTGGCTGGACGGCGTGGTGAAGGCACGGGAAGGCATGGGAAGGCATGGGAAGGCATGGGAAGGCATGGGAAGGCATGCATACCACGAGCGTAGGATAGGAAGGGGAGGAGACGACATAAAAACATGACCACATACCCACAAGGATGCATTTAACTTGGACTCGGTTGGGCATAACCACATGCCCACATGCCCACATGCCCACATGACCACATGTACCAGCATACGCCCTGCCCCGCCACTCGCCTTGGGAGCGGGCACTAGTTCCAGCAGGGGTTGGTGGGTGTGCTGCAGCGCCACGCCGTGCTGCTGCCAGTACTCGATGTCGTACCACGTGCTCTGCCCCGTCGCGTCCCTCCTCCCCCACCATGCTCTCGCTCTCTCCTCCTTCTCACCATCCTGCTGCTGCTGCTGCTGCTGCTGCTGCTGTGGCAACAGCGGCGGCGGCACAAGCTGCTGTTGCTCACCCTCTGGGCGTTCCCTTTCAGCGGTTGAAGGCGGTGCTGTGGGGTCTGCTGGTGGGGGCGGGTGGGGCATCACGGCGTGCACGAGGAACAGGGAGGGGGCGAGGGAGGGCGCATGGGGGAGGGCGAGGGTGACAGCACTCTGCATCACTTGCTGTGCACCGACGCACCCATTCGCCAGCATCACTTCCGTCTGCTCCTCCCCTGCTCTGCTCTCCTCCCCCTCACACTTGTCCCTCGCCCCCTCCCCCTCCCTCAAACCGCCGGGCAGCTGAACGGGCAGCTGGTAGGATTGGTGGAGAGGCAGCACCAAGTATCCAGGCTGCCATTTCATGGCCGGCTGCTGTGCCCGCCCCTCTCCCCCTCCCTGCGGCCCAGCAGTCGACTCAGCGCTCCCCCCATCCCCACGTACTTGCCTCTCACGGCACCTGCACCACCCCTTCGCCTCGTATGCTCTTGCTCTTCCTTTCGCCTCCTTTTCTACTTCCCTCACTCCCCCTTCGCTCCCTCCACTCCCCTCCTCACTCCCCCACATCTTGCTCCCCGCACCCTCACCGTCCCCTCCTCCGCCCCTTGCGCTGGGGGCTGCGCGCGGAGGGGCGTGCGGGTGGAGGAAGTGCGCCTGGGAGCGGAGGGCGCGCGAGATGCACGCGCAGCAGAGGGCGACAGCGCCCGCGGGGAGGAGACACGCGGAGAGGCAGAGGCTCCGCGAGTGGGGAAGAGGGACGGCGGCGGGCAGAGGTGACGTGAGCATGGAGGGCGGGAGGGGATGCGCCGAGAGGAGGAGACAGGGGGCGATAGCGGGGCGGGAGTGCGAAGAGGCGGGGGAGGGGAAAAAGCAAGTGCAAGCCTCACCCTCCATCTGACGCTCCGCTGGTGCTTCCGCGCCCCTCCCACCGTTCCGCTCCGCCCAATCCCACTGGACCACGTGCGCGTGGTACCAGTGCCGGCAAGGCATGCAGGGCGCGGCTGGTTGGGGCTGGGGGAGGGTCGTCCCGACTGGGCGGAGGCAAGGAGGGGGGGGATCTGAGGAGAGACGAGCATCCGCGGAGTTGCCGTGATCCGCGAGACGCGGCGACAGGGCGAGCGGCCATCGCTGCGGCGTGAACCGCTCCAAAGGCGGCCGACGGCGGGAAGAGCGCGCCATGAAGTGATGGAATGGCCAGTGCGTGTAGGGCAGTGGGGCGATTTCGCTGGTGGAATGTGCATCAGAGAGACTCGATTGGAAGTGACGCGTGATAATAACGTTATTGCGTCCCGACAACAGTAACATCGTTAGGACGCTCACATATCAACACAGTGTCACTACTCACTACGATTTACTTAACATCGTCTTTGTGTTGGTTCGTCCATAAGCTTTAGACAAGTCAAACTCTTTCCATATACAAAGCTTTGGCTGATAATTAACATTTTCTTACTCGTGCCAAGGTAAATTATATATACGTGAATTTATCATACGATAGTAACAGCGATCATCATCAATAGTCTCGCATCTTATGCTCAATTCCGCTAGTCGCTGTAGAAATCACGCGAGTTATTCACAACAGCCACGCATGTGAGACTACCGTACTTGCGCAAGGGGCCATCATCTGGGGATTAGAAGGGCAGCAAACTGTATGTATTTGCACCCTATACTGGTTCCAATTCTACCACCAACTGCAGGCAAGGGTGAGAGGACATGGGAACAGGCTGTCTAACTAGTTATAATATGCTTGTTATATCGCTGCTCTGAGCAGCAGACTCCCAACCTCAGTGCACGTCACACCTCCACTCCATGCACGCTGGAGAGTGGAGGGTGAGAGTGAGAGCACGGTGTGGACAGTGCCAGATGCACCGGACCCACCACACTCAGCCCACCTGCAGCGGTTGTCGACACCACAGTTGATTGCACGGGGGTGCTGGGAGGTGTGTCATGGCCATCAGACGCACAGGCCTCAGATGACGTTGGAAGAGGGTCATGTGCCGCAGCAGCAGGGGGTGCCGCAGTGCTCTCAGCATTGGGATCGATGTATGCGGCCAGGCGGTGGTGGAAGGAGTGCACCTGCCAAGGGAAAACGCACCACGCATGTGAGTGGACTCGCAGCACGAGGGCGAGGGCAAAGTTGAGCCAACATGAGGCAACACCTTTTAGCCAAGTGCAGCAACATGGGAGATGCATACAGTGAGGGGAGAAAGCGCATTACCTGTGACTGTAGTGTATTGAATAGCTTGGCCACATGCGCCAGCTTCTGCCGGTGCTGCTCCTGGCACCGCTCGTCCTCTCGCCTGACTTGCTCAAGCTGCACATGTCACGACCACGGAAACGCCAATCGGTGATGGGCGCACGGGGGACACACACAGCAGGCAGTGACGACACAGGATAGCCATCACAGCCAGCAAGCTGCGGCCGACATGGAAGGGTGGTACACTGAGGCTCACGGCACATGCGGGGACGGGCAGCATGAGGGGGAGCTTGCACGCATGGGGCTCACCTGGCCCTGCACCTCGGCCTTGGCAGCGAGAAAGAGCTCCTCTTCCTCTGCCAGTCCCTGCTCCACCACTCGCACGTCCTCCTGCTTCCTCCGCACCTCCACCATCCTCTCCTCTATGCTTGCCTTCAGCGCCGCTGCCCTCGCCTTCCACTCCGCCTCTGCTCACACACATGCGCGCGTGCGCGTGCACACACACACACACACACACACACACACACACACACACACACACACACACACACACACACACGCACACACGCACGCACACACACACACACGCACACACGCACGGACGCACACACGCACGGACGCACACACGCACGGACGCACACACACACACGAACGCACACACTTAGCACCCACAGCACGAGAGTCAGCACAGCACCCGGCCATGAGCAGCAAGCACACGAGACACTAGGTAGAGACAGTGGAATGGTATCCGCTCCCGGACAGCACAGAGCCTCCCCACACACGCGCAACCGAATGCTCATGCATGGTACACCCCAGCATCACCTCTCAGCCCCCACGCTGAGTGCTCTCACCCCTGGCCTTCTCATGATTCACGCTCTCCTCCACTGCCGCCAGCTGCCGCCGGGCTTCTTCCGCATCTGCCCGCCTCGCAGCTGCGCGCCGCTTCAACTCGTGCGCTGCTGTTGCCTGCACGGCACGACCAACGAGCGGAAGCAGTGGTTGGGGGCGAGCGAGACACGGGGGCCAGAGAGCAACAAACGGGAACAATCACTGAGGCATGGGGGGAGGAGCAAGGTAGTTCATGCTGCTTAAGATAACGGGCCACCCAGGCCAGGGCGCGGAGGAATGTGGTGAAAGGGGAGAATTCTATCTTTGGGGCGCCTCAAAAACAGGCCAGGGCGTGGAGGAACGTGGAGAAAGGGGAGAATGCTATCAAGGATTTGCTGGGGGGGAAGGGGGGTGAGGCGCTGACCTCTTGGTCGGCTTGCTTGATCTGCTGCAGTCGGCTCTGCAGCTCCGCCAGGGCCTGCATGGGTCATGCACACCGTCACACACGAGCGAGCACGCGCGCCGGAGAAGCGAGACGGTTAGAAGCAGCAAGGGTTAATGGTACAGGCAGGCAGGCAGGCAGGCAGGCAGGCAGGCAGGCAGGCAGGCAGGCAGGCAGGCAGGCAGGCAGGCAGGCAGGCAGGCAGGCAGGCAGGCAGGCAGGCAGGCAGGCAGGCAGGCAGGCAGGCAGGCAGGCAGGCAGGCAGGCAGGCAGGCAGGCAGGCAGGCAGGCAGGCAGGCAGATAGGCAGACAGGCAGACAGGCAGACAGGCAGACAGGCAGGCATGGGCAGGAGACAGCAAGGAGGTGGTTCCGAGTGTGCTGACCCTTCTGACGACGTCTGCCTTCTTGCGCGTCTCCCTCATCTTCGCCGACACTGCGTCCCTCTGCTCCTTCTCACTCTCCATCGCCTCCTCTGCTCGCGCCACCGCTAACTGCACGCGCCCACGCACACACGCACATAAAGACGCACACACACAAACACACACGCAGGCGCAAAGGCGTACATACACACATACAGGGGACCAGACACAAGCGGGCAGGGAGGAGTTGAAGAATGAATATGGGCTGGGATTGCATAACACGTGGGCAGGAAGGCACAATGCGAGGGCAGGGGCGACTCACACTGATTTTATCCGGCGATTCCACTATCTGCATGCGTAGGTTCATCTCCTCCTCCTCCATGCTCCCCGCGTGCTGCTTCTCCGCCGCTACCTGCACACACCACACACCACACACCGCACACCGCACACCGCACACCGCACACCGCACACCGCACACCGCACACCACACACCACACACCACACACCACCAGAGACGCAGCCCCACACGACACCACACGCTAAGCAGCACGCCCACAGACGGGGCACATGGCGAAATGCAGCTTCACAAAGGGCCACAGCTATGCACAGCGACACTGGCACGAGCCACTGCGCTGCGCGCACAGGCGCTGTGTGCCGCCGTCGTGCTTGCCTGTTCCACGAGCAGCTCCAGTTTGCCCCTCGTTGCCGCCAGCTCCTCCTGCGCCGCGTCGTCCTCCGCCTTGGCGCGCTGCAGCTCCTTCTCCATCACCGCCACCTCCCCCGCCACCTCCGCCACCTCCGCGTCCTCGTCGCGCTGCCGCTCCTCCGCACACTGCAGCTCGCTCGACAGCTGCGGCGGAGGAGGGGGGGCGGGGAGAAAGTGGAGAGGGGGGGGGAGGTGGGGGGATGGACGGGTGGGCACAAGGTGCGCGTGTAAGGAAGGGGTGCGGGGAGATTAATGCGGAGAAGATCTGGCAGAGGAGGGACATGTAGCGGTGGTGCGATGTTGGTGGGCGGGTGGATAGACACGGGAAATGCGATGAAACTCGGGAGATGGCGGCGTGGTGATGGGAAGAGTGGTGTGCGTAGAGTGTGTGAGCGCGGGGAAGAGAGAGGCGGAAGGGGGCGAGAAGCATGAATGCGCACAGATGTCTCGGCGTTTTCGAGCTTGGATTCTGACTCGACGAGCTTCGCGTAGTCCTCCAACGACTGTGACTCCAGGTCAAAGAACTGGTCCCTGCAACACGCGCGCGCAAACAAACACCACACGCATGCTTGCCGTAAATACACACGCGCTGAGCTATGGCAAGAGGCGGTGCTGCCAGAGGAAAGAGGGGGGAGGCATAGACCGTGAAACAGAACCGGTTTTCTACTCTTCGCTACGCACGCGGCGTCGGCTTCCGTGGTGGCGAACGCACCAGAAGCGCTTGTAGTTGGCGAGGGCGGAGAGCAGCTTCTGCGTGCGCTCGGGATCCGGTCGCACGACGTCGCGCAGCGCGAACCACTCGGCGCCCGCGGAGGCGAAGAGGTCGCGGAGCGAGTTGAAGAGAGCGAGGTTGCTGGCGCCGTCCCCGTGCAGGTCGGGGAAGTCGAGGTGGCGCTCCCCCTCGTCCTCCTGCAGGCACGTCTCGTCGCTGGGGAGGACCGCATGGAAAGGAGTATCATCAAGGCGCCATGAGGCGGGTGGGAGAGCACGCGGCAGGCGAATAAGGATGCGGCGAAAAGGATACGTAAGGTTCTATTGATGGATCGAAGATTCGGTCAGCTTCGTACAGCGATGGTTGAGAGATCCTAGATATCACTGCTGTTGGTCGTAATAATTATCACCCACCGGCCCATTAGCACGCGAACTGCCGCGTCGTAGAAGAGGCGCATGACCTCTGGTGTGGGCTTGGTGATGTCCCGCTCTGTTAGATTGTGGATGGGATCCAGACATTGCTGCAGCTGCTTCGCGTCTAACAACGGAGACGAAAACTGTACCATGGGTGCTTCGCGACGGTGAGACTAGCGGTCGGGTGCTCTAGTCTCGAATCAATCGCAGATTCTCGTTAGAATATCGACCAAGTCTCGCTGAAGGGCCCGCGTTGATTAGCTGGGAGCAAGCACTGACTTCCGACACTGCGAGAAAAATCACGCGTAGCCTGACGGGAGGGGTACGTCGAAATGCTAGAGCTGTGAGAGCGGGGCGGAAGGGAAGGGAAATGGAGGTGCGTGGGTGCAGGCAGGCGAGGCCAACCAACAGAGCAGAGCAGGCGCGAGTGGCTTCACACATACGCTTGCCGGCCCACAACCACCAGGCTGGCAGGGGTGGCAGGAGCTTGGCGGGAACTTTCAATTTTTGGCGCCAAAGTTCTGGTTGATTTCTGACCAACCGCGTGCTGCTCGCGCCACTGACAGGGGAGGATGCGATCTGAGTCGTCGGGTTACGACAGGAAAACTGCACACCGAAAGATTGCTGAAATATCTAAATACTTATTGGTAAATGTGGACTATAGATGGTACTACTATTGATCCTCCAACCTAGAAGCAACATGCGAAATTTTTTTTGTTGAGTGATGGTGTGACTCTTTGGGGGACATAACGTGCAAAATAAGCAAACAAACGCCTCATACAAGCAAACTAATTGAAACCATGTCAATATGATCAACCTTGCAGGAACACATTATCCACCTACAATGTACAGCTTCTACCTGTGTATCTTCTCTGAACCTCAAATACCAGGAGTGGCCTTACACTCTTCGTAGGACAATAAAACACTTCAGAACAGCTTCTACGCCAATCTGGCTTTCAGCGTTGCCACATCTTGCCGCATCTGCTGCTCTTTAGTAGCTGCTTCCTCCTGCAGGACGTCATAAAGAGAGTGACTTTCAATGCTGTTGAGCATGCACGGAGTACAGTGACTAGAATGGATAACGCCAGCAAAATGGCACACACAGATTCATTCGCCCTGCCTCGGAAAACGACGCGGAACAGACGAGACGTTGTGAGCAAAATATTACCTCTAGACGGCAAAGCCGCCACTGCTGTTGTTGTCGCAGCACGTCACGCATGGTGAATTTGCAAGGCGGAGACGGCCTTATGTGTACGCGGACGATGGTAGCTGGGCCGAACCGAAGCTCATCTCCATCGGACAGAGGGCGTTCGCGACCTGAAGGAACGGGAGAGAGAATAAATGTGACGCGTGGCGACGGGATATCCCACGGGAGAGCTTTATCTAGACCTGCTATCTTACAGCCGTAGATGCCCCTCAGCGTGTCTCAAAGGTGAGCTAGCACCTTCTGGCAGATGGATGCCGTTGAGTGACGTTCCGTTTGAGCTCCCTAGATCGACCACGCGCCAACTCCTATCAATAGCGTCCCACGACACACACGCGTGTTTCTCAGAAACCTGGATGGGAGAAAAAAGTCGTCGAACAGGGACTAGTTTAGGAAGGCTCGCTTGATTGAAGAAATGCTGCGGCGACTGCTCTGGCAATGGACGAGGCTTACAGAGTCTTCCTTCAGCGGAATCTGGCAAGTCTTCAGTCGTCCCACTCTAGAGCTGTTCGCAGTTACAGCAATGGTGGACGGGCAGCAAGGACCCCCCACCACTTCCAGCACCAGGAGGTCACGGTCACCACCACTGACTAGCTCTGGTTGGGAAGCTTCCGCCGTCGAACCTCGCTTTGCCTGTGCGGCCTTGCCCCTACCACCTGCCATACTAAGAATCTACAGAATGGCTATGCTCGTGAGTGTTAGAAGAGAGTGGGAGTTATGGTCGAAACCGCATTGATCTCGGGGGTTCATTACCTCGGGAGAGAGGGATGCTGCTTTGTTGGGTTCGCGATGATCAGTTGGAGGGAAGGCTGGCGAGGCCAGGCGAGGCGAGGGGACATTGAAGCGGAGATGAAGCGCTATGGTGCTCGCGTTTGTACACTCGATCATGCCATACTGCACGATAAAATGCGACAAGTTCAACCCAAGATGTTAACGACTACAAGCAAAATAATTACAAAAGAGAATATAAATACAATATTATTGAAAATACGCACAATACAGCGCCTGAAAATTAGCAGTGTGTTGTTAGAAACAAGGAGTCGATGTTAGAATCAATGGAGGCTGCTCTCAGGCAAGCTTTGATGCGTGTGCGTGCTCAGTTTTTTACTTTCTAAAACAGGCTTGGTTCGAGTATCATGTGGGTGTACATCACGTCCACCCACATGTCCGGTACGCCAGGCAGGCACCAATGCGTGCAGTCCCCGGAAAATGGCAACTCCCCTTGTTCCTGGGGTGAGTTTGGTCCAGACTGGTCTCTAGAGTGCCACCATACCCCTAGATGTGCATCTGGCCGCAAGGCACTGATGCCTGTGACATCCAGGAAGCGAACTGGCGAACCCTGGAACACACTCTTCTGCGCAGCCGCATACTCTTCTGCGGTGTCCAAAGAGTCTGAGTACCTTGAGTGCACAAAGGTGCTTGAGGCAGGCACGTGAGCACCACAAGCACCCACCCATGCACCTCCTCCGCTTCCTTCAACCCCGGGTTGTGTTTCGCCAGCGCCCGCATGCTTTGGAGAGAAGGAGAGGAAGAATGGGACTCCCGAGTAGTCGATCTTCTTGACGAAGGAGCGCACAGTGGACAGGGCCCATGTGTGTGCTGCGATGTTGGTTAGGTTCCGCTGTGTCCCACCGGCAAAGAAGAGATTCGGCACCGTGCGGCGCGGCACGTTCTGCAGCCACCACACGCCTGAGTGGAAGACGACGGTGCTGTAGTTGGTCATCACGTGCTCCAGCACCGGGTCCATCTCGTCCACATACACGTCAAACCCGTGCCCGCCTTTGCCCGTCACTCCGTTGCGGATGGAGCGGCGACTGGCGCGCACAATGTAGGGCGAGAAGTAGTACTCGAGGGAGAAGGAGAACGCCGGGAAGCGCACTCCCTTGATGCTCCACTCGCCTTTCGTCTTGCGCTTGAAGGGCTGCCGGGAGGGAGGCGCCAAGGGGGAGTTACCAAACACAAGAAAAGTGAGGATGAAGGAGATCCTGAAGTTACTGCAGCCCCGCGAACGAAGCCCTGTGACACATGCCTCACTGCAACTGTCCTAAGGCCGGGTCCTGTACGCTCAAACCATTCGTTCACGACGGTGCATCAGCACCAACTGCAAACGATGCATGCGAGGTCTAAACATGCGACCCAAGGCAGGGCGAGTGAGCAGAGCAGCACGGTTGGAGCCATGGCGCCATACCTGTCCGTCGTAGCCGGCGCTGCTGATGGAGCAGAGCAGCGCCTCGAAGAGGTTCGACATCATCGAGTCGCCCACCAGCAGCATGCGCTGCCCGGGGGATACGCCGGGGAGGGCAGGATAGGGGGATGCACGTCAGGCTTCTGTGATGGAGAGAGTGCGTGACTCGCCAGGCACAGACGAGCTGGTAATGGCTACGTGTGGTTATGCAGCGTCACAAAAATGTGGATCTCTCCTATATTGTAGGTATAGTTGTTCGTATAGCAAGGCTACTCCGTAGCAGACGTATCCATCCCGTACCTACTGTATACCTACTCCGTATTTCTGATCCTGGTATTTTGGGACGAGTGTTGCGTGGTGGCCTGGCATGGCATGTCAGAGGCAAAGTGCATGGATTTGTAGCGAGTTTCGACTCAGTGAGCTCCGAGAGGTGTGAGCGACGGTCGCTCGGCTTTGAGCCCGTGGACCCGTGTGCATGATGGTGGCGGGCGGCAGCTCACCCGGTTGCGCATGAGGAAGCGGAAGCCCGAGGGGGAGAAGTAGCTGATGGGGCAGTCGAACGGCTGCCACCGGTACTCGCGGTACCGCAGGTCTGGCCGGTTGTTGCGCTCGCACGCGTACGACGACCGCACGAACGGACACGTCGACGGGCGGCCCGCGACTGTGGTGTAGCGCGGGAAGCGGCGCGGGGAGCGCATCCATGCGCCGCGGGACAGGTCGCAGAGCTCTGCGGCACGTGGCAGGAGAGACGAGAGGGAGGGATGACCAGCGAGAATGGGCAACTAGAGTGGGACAGACTCTCGCGAGTGCACACTAGCTCAGGTCAGCATAGGGACGTCTCAACTGGAGTGCGGTAAGCCTTCGCTCTCCACTGATACCTTCCACATCTGCTCCTGTCAGCCGACTAATTGCTCTGCAACTTAGCATGCAGTGAGTCTCGCCCAGTCGCTAGCATAACTTTCCCCCCTTTCCCATGCTGCACGCGTCGCCCCGTCACGCCAATGCGATCAACTGCTCACCTTGCTTAGGTTTCGGAGCGAGCGACGTGACTGCGGGGACGAGCACGCATAGCAGCGCCGCGACGACGCGAGACAGGATTAGTAACGATGGACCGAAAGAAAGGCGGTGTGAGCTACGCAATCGCGGCTGGCACGAGGTGGCCATAGGAGAAAGTTACTAAGTAGCAGCCTGAGGATTAACGCTAGTTACCCTGGGAGTGTAGTGCTGCTCGAGTGACCCGGAAGGTTGTGTGATGGGAGAGGCAGATGGAATGGAGGTCAATGCACTGCTGTGCCCTCCATCGCTGTGCACACACGGAAGAAGGCCAGCCACACAGCACAGCACACGCTTGCTCTAGGGACGGGTGGGCGCCGGCACCACCATCCAGCCGCCCACCCAGGCCAGAAAGGAGGCGACGTGACGTGTGAGGCTGCAGCTTGCGTTCTGCACGGTTGTGCCATGGGACGAGGGGTTTGGGGGATTGGCATCATGGTGACTAGTGCTGCTTCGCATGTGGTACCCGCATGCCCGTAAAAAAATTCATTCCAGTTCTGTTGAGCATCATGTTGTTTCATTCCAGTTCTGTGGAGTTCGTGCTTTGTTGAGTGCTCATGTTTTGCCAGCTCCCAATTGTTTCTTTTTTCTGGCACGCGTAACAAAGGGCTGATCTCGCGCAATTTTTGTATCCCTGGTATCAGTTTCATTCGTCGCCTCTGAATTTCGTCGCGTGTTCGAAGCGCCCAAATGTTTTCGTATGGCTAGTCGTCAAGGTTCGTCTGCTTCCCTCCTCTTCTTCTCTTGACATCCTTCTTGACATCCTTCTTGACCGCACACATCTACACATTGACGACATGCGACACGATGTACCAGTAACGTGCGAAATCGAAAAAGTCGCGCCAAATTGGAAGCTGCAATCAACCGAGCCGCTATTTGCGACTCCAGACCAGGGCTCTCGGTTCAAGGGTAAACATCCAGAATGTCAGGTACATTCCGGGTCTTTTCCGCTGAAATCCTGATTTTGAGGGTTTCTGACTCACAGACATCCTGACTGATTCCGGGATTTTCCAAGGAACTCCCTGAGCAATCCGGATTGCGCAAAAAATTGTCTTGGCCATCCGACTGGCATGGAAACTCACCCGTGCTGGAATTGCAACCCACCCCCCCCCCCAATTCCTTCGCAACCCTGACCAATTTTCCACGCAATCTGAAGGTGCGACCCGTGGAACTTTCACAACTACAGAAGTGCAGGGCTGTCAGTCTATCATAACCCCTTAATATCACCTTAGCCAGGTTGTGCACTGTCCCTCTAAGTTGTACGCATTTCTGTCGCGATTAAGGAAAGTGTCGAACTTGGTGTGGTGGTGAGGACAGCAGCATCAGCAAGTGTGTGTTCTGTATTCTTCATTGTTTCTTCCATCGATGTCCTTTCTTCTTGTATTCGAAGTGCCCACAAGTTCCGCTGATATGTAGGGAGTCCAAAAAACACTCAGAATTTCAGATTGAAATGTCAAAGTCATCCTGAAATAAAGAAAGACTTTCCAGGGAATGCTGAATTTTCAGGGTCTTTAGTGACGCGAATCCTGAGACCGCTGGGTCTTGAAAAAAAACGAAAAAATGAACCCTGCTCCAGACATGTGATACCATTTCCATCCTCATCGTTCCACCCCCTTTCACTCGATCCAAGTACAAAACAAGCATTCCAACAGTGCAAATGCCACACCTCTCCAAGTTCAGAGCGCGTTCCTGGGCTTGGACGCCAGGAAAGTTTAGTCATGCGATTCGGTTTTGACGCCTACGCATGGACAAAGTCGCGCCTACGCATGGGCAAAGTTGGGGTCCGCCCCACTTTGGCCAACATCAAACCTGTTGGAAATACCTCGAGGACTTCACGTTTCTGAAGTGTAACACTACACTCGAGGAAAGTCTGATCGAGTACGCGAGTCAACGAAGGTTACACGAGGAGGTTGGACGAAAGAATACGAAAAGACGAAGGGACTTGAAGGGTCGCAACCGGAGGTTGCGACTGACCGTTACGACTGCAAGGATGGTAACCGAACCGACGATCGAGTCGCACCGTTCTTTCAACTGTATTCTACAACTGCTCTATTTTCCTACTCTCTATATATTCCTGTATGCTTGCTTCTTTTAATTGATCACTTGCTCTCACATACTAGTGCAAGGGTTCAACTACTCAACTCTTCCGCTGCACTGCTCAAGTATCTTGTACAAGTGGGACTTAGTCTCTGGAAAGATCCTAAGGGCTATTTTCTCAGCCCAACATGGTATGAGAGCTGGTCAGAGACCAAACTCCCATCAACGACATCCTATCTACACTCAGCACATCAGAATTTCATCGATTACAAGTCATGGACAACAACGGCAAGAAGTCTTCTATGGGCTCACCCAGCGGCCAAGTCACTCAACCCGGAATCTCTAGACTACATACTTCAGGACTACAAACTGAGATCGGCGCTGCTCAAGAAACAACATGAAGGGTACAAAAAATGGTGACCCCTTCACCCTCTTCAGGCGTGGACCCAAACCTTATGGAAAGGTTCTTCAGCTTCATGTCACACTTTGACCCGCAGCAGTAGACAAGGACACCTGCGCATTCAACACAAATATGGGATTAGCACCAATGAGCCTCGACAACTCATCATTCGGGCGGCACAATCAGGCGCCTACCTTTGCACCTTATCACTCTTCACCGGGGACGTTCGACTTCATGCCGCCCCGTGCCCAACCAACAGCAGCTGCATCACAACAGACACCAAACGAGATATTAAGTCTCCAGGCGCAGTTTTCACATGTGATCAAACTTCAGACATCTTCACCATTCAACGGGCACGACTTCTTTACCTGGAGCTTTGAGTTCGAGCTGCTGATGGAGGCCGCGCACCTCTTCGGATACTTCAACGAGTCCCTGCCATTTCCAAGTAATGGCACTGCAAAGGAGCAGGAAATCTTCACTTATCAGTTGCTGCTGGCGTACACAGTTCTCCTGCGAAACCTGTCACCACAAGAGCAACAGAGCATCAGAACATATTGGAGCTACGGAAACTCCGCGGAGCTCGCCTGGCATCATCTGAAGTGCCTCTATCAAGCAAACGGCAGCGTAACACAAAGCAGACTCATGCAGCAGTTGACAACAATACACCAAAGAAGACCGGGGAAAAGGCGATGCAGTATACGAGTCACTGCCAGACACTCCGCGACCGCCTGCTTCGATGCGGAGGGACAATCACTGAAGAAAGCTTCGTGACACTTGTTCTCACCGGGCTCAGACCAGAATGGAGAACCATCCGCTCGCTTCTTCGCGCCCACGGATGAATTTCCGAGATGCACCTCTGCGCCGAGCTTCATGCTGAACAACATGAGATTGACCTATTTGAAGAAAGACAACCACGGAACAAGCAGCAGCCATTAGTCTTCTACACTCAAAGAAGAAACGACAACAACTACAACCGACGCAAAAAGCAGAACAGATATGACACCAGAGGCCTTACCGTCGTGCCGCCGTTCTGCCACAATTGCTAGACATCAGGACACTCCAAGGTCAACTGTACGCGTCCCCGAGTATATCGCCCAGCAGACCGGCAAGTAGCCTCCACTCAAGGAAGTCCGCCAAGCCGCTCCTCTACACCTGCACGAAACACACCCAACATCATCAACCGCATGGTACGGATCGACAGCTGCAGACCCGAGTCACCACCCATTTACGCTCCAGACGAAGAGGAACTGCCGCCACCACGCTCACAAGGTCTCCAGGTCAACCCGACGTACGCTACAGTTGCCAACGCCGAACCCACCGGACGAAACACTTAGTTCTTGGACAGTTGCTGCGGCCAACATATGTGTTCTTCCGGGCGCTTCGTGCAACGAGAGCGACGCCTCAACCGCGATGTCATCATCACCGTCGCCAACAACGAAAACCTGAAAACAAACAGACGAGGCGTCGTTCAGCTTCAGTCAATGGAGACAAACGTTATACTGCAAAGAGCTATCTGGCAGAAAGAGGCATCAGACGCCTGGTGTCTCTGCTCTACGCTCATCAGCAGCAGGGGGTCGCAGAAAGGATGAACCGGACCTTGCATAGGACGATGCGAAAGCTGCTCCTGGGGACGCGACTGCCCAACACACTGTGGCCTGACGCGATGACGCATGCAGTCCACCTGCACAATTTGCTGTCCTCGACGTCACTTCCCAACAACGCATCACCGCACCTGCTGTGGATAGGAAAACAGGGCAGCACAAAATTACTTCGGGTTTTCGGCTGCATGGTACAGTACAGACCCCACACAGCCCGAGCAGGACGATTCTCTCAACGAGCACGGTGGGGACTACACCTTGGCATCGCCAAACATTTCCAGGCATGGAAACTTATTGACATTCAGGACAAAAGCACCGTGGCCTCACGTGATATGATTTTCTACGAGCGACTGATACTGCAGCATTACCTGGACAACATCGCCAACACAGAAGACCCCACCGACGGCTTCGAAGGCCATCGGTCCTTCGCCGACCGTGCTGCCAAAGCTGACGCAGCAGAAGAAGACGTACGTGAAGCTTCGGAAGCTGCCGGACCACTCCCTTACTGCTCCATGCCCGTTCCACTCGACGATGACAGTCCTCTCGATAGTAACAACCTCGACACTTATTACCACTTCGCTGACCAAGGTTACACCACACCTCAACCGGTCAACATTAATATCTCCGAACGCATCGGACCTAATTCCTTACCTGACTCAGAGGACGGAGACGAAGCAGCTTATCCCGAGAATGACAATTCCACTCGACACACACCAACGGGCCTACAGATACTTGGACTATGGGTCGCCGTCCAGAGCCTGCCGCCGCCGTCACCGCACGAGCCAACAACTCTGTCGCAGGCTCTGGGGGGGGAACACAAGGCAAAATAGAACGAAGCAATGGAAAAGGAACTGAAGGCCCTGCAAGACCGAAATACGTGGAAGCTGGTATCTGCGACAAAAACCAACGGGAAAAATGTGCTCTTGGGGAAATGGGTGTATCGCATCAAGACCAATGCGGATGGCTCCATCGACCGCTTCAAAGCCCGCTGGGTCGTACGAGGATTCGACCAGCGATATGGAACCGACTACACGGAGACATTCGCCCCGGTTTCCCGACACACTTCCCTGCGCATTTTGCTCGCCGTCGCGGCCACGAAAAAGATACACCTTCCTGTATGGACCTGTGGACGCCGAAATCTTTGTCGAACAGCCCCACGGATTCATCGACGATCCCACAAAGGTGTGCCAACTGATGAAATCCATCTACGAAATTAAACAAGCCCCGCGGCTCTAGCAGCAGCACCTCCACGACCGCCTCCTCAGGATCGGTTTTCTGCAGCTGCCGCACGATCAAGGGATGTACCGACTACAGAAGGGGGGGATTTCGTCCTACTCATCGTCTACGTCGATCATCTACTCTATTTCGGCTCCACTACCGACGTCACCACCTGGTTCGAAGGGGAGCTGAGGAGGGATTTAACACTCACAGTGTCAGACACCGTGAGCCAGTACCTAGGTTTAAACATCGTCAAAGATGAGTCAGCACTCTACCTACTCGCAGGAAAATACGCAGGCGTTGTCGCGAAGAAATTCGACCTAACGCCAGTCACAGTCGCAACTCCCTACCGCTACGGGAACAACAGCAACACCTCCGCAAAACTCCCCGCGAAGCAAATCCAGGAATATCAACAAAAGCTTGGCTGTCTACTGTTCGCAGCAGTAACCTGTCGACCGGACCTGTCCTACAGTGCAAGCCAACTGGCAACACACCTGAAGCAGCCGGAGAAAGAGGATCTCGAGGAACTAAATCGGGCACTGCTCTACTTCGTCTCTACGCCGACGACTGGACTAACCTACAACACAGTAACAACATCGTCCGTACAACTACTCGACTATGTCAACGCCGACCACGCGGGAGACAGGGAGAACCGTCGCTCCAGAACGGGCTACATCTACCGACTAGAACCTATCGGGACTATCTCCTGGCAATCGAGCAAGCAGGAATTAATCGCACCATCTTCGGCTGAAGCGGAATATATCGCTCTCTGCACTGCAACCAAAGAAGGACTTTACCTGCGAGAGCTGCTCGAGGAAGCGAAAATTGCGACCATGTCCGCCTTCTCGCTATTCTGCAACAACCAATCCGCGATCAAAATCGCGAACAAAGACGGGTTTGCCAATCGAACCAAGCACATCGCCCTACGGTACTTCTTCGTCAAGGATGAGATCGCGAAAGGGAGACTTCAACTAAGTTACTGTCCTACGACAGAAATGGTTGCAGGTTACTTGACGAAGAAACTGGCAAAAGCAAAGTTTGATTACTGCATGCTGCTGACCGGGCAGATAAACGTCACCGAGTCCGGACACGACAGCACTCCAGAAACGAAGGGGAGTGTTGGAAATACCTCGAGGACTTAAGCGTTTCTGAAGTGTAACACTACACTCGAGGAAAGTTGTATCGAGTACGCGAGTCAACAAAGGTTACATGAGGAGGTTGGACGAAAGAATACGAAAAGACGAAGGGACTTGAAGGGTCGCAACCGGAGGTTGCGACTGACCGTTACGACTGCAAGGATGGTAACCGAACCGACGATCGAGTCGCACCGTTCTTTCAAATGTATTCTACAACTGCTCTATTTTCCTACTCTCTATATATTCCTGTATGCTTGCTTCTTTTAATTAATCACTTGCTCTCACATACTAGTGCAAGGGTTCAACTACTCAACTCTTCCGCTGCACTCTTGTACAAGTGGGACTTAGTCTTTGGAAAGATCCTAAGGGCTATTTTCTCAGCCCAACAAAACCCAACCACCCTGCGACCGTTGATGCGAGCTCTATATGATCAAATGCGAACAAACTCTGATTGTGTCAAATCATGAAGCATGGTCGGGACCCTCGTGATCGCCAAACAAAACATGGAGGGAGTCGTCAACGCCTACGACAAGTGTCAGGCAGCTCAGAGAAATCATACACCCAGCCCTGTCAATCAAGTCTGTACGAAGATGGTTGTTTGCGGGCAGTATAATGACGTTGGAGGCGATTCCCGTTGTGGAGTTTGACAAAATAGGTCGTCTACATGGCAAAACCTGACAGCACCTATGGTCGCGTTTGGTCGTGCGCCACGGTCGTAGGATTTATGACCATCTGGTTTTGGTTGGCTAAACCCCGAGGCGCATTGCCAAACATTGGAAATGCATTTTTTGACATTTTGAGCCGCACGGCTAAACTTTTTCTGGCGTCCAAGCCCCGGAGCGCGCTCTCATTCTGGATACCCAAACCATACACTCGCAATGGCTAGCCAGAACGACGCTCATAACACTCCGCTCTTAGACACTCAAGGGAGCACAAATCCAGCCGTTTCAACTGCTCGCACTGCTCGTACTACCCCAGCTCGCCGCACGCATGTCACGCTCGACGTCATCGACCACGCCATCATCGTTCGTATTCCTATTCCCGATGCTCCGTTGGACAGCGATGGTGAGGCGATGGCGGACGGCGATTTTGGCGAGGTCGTGGGCGATGGAGACGACGACGATGCCCTCACTGAGGACGACGACGATGCCCCCGCTATCGATGACATTGGTGCTGGCATGGCGCCCGCGGCTGGGCCGTCTGCAGAGTTTACTGCTATAACGGGAGCTTCTGCGGAAGTGCCCGACGCAGATAGAGCTCTCTAGCTCTGTCGTTCTCTAAGGAGAAAGTTGCCTTCAGAATTGTGTGTTTCACTGAGTAGCTTTTGAGAAAGCTTAGGCACACAAATTCACTAGAATCAAGATTACACAGTATGGTACACAAGGCAAACACTAGTACTACCCCATTGAACCTCATTGAACACGGCGAGAACGTTCGCACAAGAACGTTTACGTAACTACTTTAAGCTGCGCTTAGCCAAGTCAGCAATGGCAAGTGAAAATTACAGCACATGTTTAGCTGGTAATTGTTACCCACTTAGAAGTAGTTATTCTAACAGTTTCAGATATGAAACTGTCAGATGTTACGCACATTGTTATGATTAAGAAGATGTCAATGAACTATAACGTGAGAATCCAAGGTCGCTATTGCAATGAAAGCACGAGGTTATATAGGCGTAGACGTAATAGGGCGATAACCTCGGGACGTGGTTAGGTTTGGCAATGTGGCGACGCTGTCGGACGCGACTCGAAAAAGGGTTGGGCAAAAAATGTAGGCCGAACGTGACGAGTCAACGTGTTCGGGTGTACGCGGTAGCGTGCGACTCAGTAAGGAATGGAAATTCCTTACACTACCCCCCCCTCCTAAACGAGGCTGTGGGCATCGGAGATGTTACGACGCCGATAATACGCTGTTAGAATCGGATGTGATTCTAGATCAACGAGAGACACCCAGCTGTCGTCTTCGGACGTGCGATCGCGCCAGCGGACGAGGAAATCAACCATCCGACGAATCAGCTGCGTTATGACGCGATGGCCGAGGATTTTCAGGGGCTCGGTCGTCGGTTCTTGCAAAGGCGTTAGTTGCGGGACACCGCGGTTGCATGCCAAGTCCGACGAACTCGGAACGTAGGGTCGGAGAAGACTGACGTGGAAAGCCGGGTGGTGGCGCCAATCAGCCGGTAGTCGAAGGTGAACAGTGACAGGTGTCGTGAGGTTGGTCACTTGAAAAGGTCCGCAGAATCTGGGTTGGAGTTTGCTCGGGATCGGCAGCCGGAGATTGTGGGTGTCGAGAAGGACTAGATCTCCCACTTTGTAAGTGACGTCACGACGATGACGATCGGCTTGTCGGCTTGCAACCAGGTTGGCTTTTCGGATGGCTTCAGCTGCTTTTTCTCGAGCGGCGAGAATGTCTTCAGCAAATTTCTGGGACCGGGGCACGGGTGACTCGATGGTCGGTGTAGAGGGTACTACTGGGTCATGTCCGTAGTTGAGGAAGAATGGGGACTGGTTGGTTGTGGCGGAGGTCACGTTATTATACGCGAATTCGAGCAGCGGAAGAGATTGCTCCCATGTTGATGGGTCAGTACAGGTAGTGCGAATCAGTTGCTCCATGGTCTGGTTGACGCGTTCGGTCTGCCCGTCGGTTTGTGGGTGGTAGGCGGATGAAAATTGGAGTTTGGTGCCGAATTGGTCCCACTGGTGGCGCCAGAATTTCGATGTGAATTTCGGGTCTCGGTCTGAAATGATGGCGGAGGGCAGTCCGTGCAGTCGGATGACGTTCGTGAGGAACAGTCGCGCGGTTTGTTCGGCTGTGATTGTCTGTTGGCAGGCGATGAAGTGCGCCATTTTCGTGAGTCGGTCAACGACCACGAGGATGGCGTCGTTTTCGCTGGGACCGGCCGGTAGTCCTGTTACGTAGTCCATCGTGACCTGTTGCCAGGGTCGCCCGGGCGGATCCAACAGCTGTAGTAGTCCGGCTGCTCGTTGATGCGACGATTTCATAATCTGGCAGGCAGTGCAGGAGGACACGTACTTGCGCACGTCATCGGCCATGTTCGGCCAGTAATAATTCCGCTGCAACATCTTCGTGGTTTTATCGACGCCGAAATGGCCTGAGGTAGGGTTGTCGTGGGATTCTTGGATTAGGAGGGTACGAAGTAAATCATAGCTCGGCACCCAAATGCGAGAAGTACCACGCTTATAAAAATATGGCCCGGTGGCTCGGCGATTTGGATGAAGTCTTGTGACCGCTTCGCAAGTCGTTGTAATTTTATTTGGTACTGTATTTCAGGCTTCAGCCCGCCCATGTACCTGTTGACCTTCTCCAACTCGTGCATGTAGCCACATCGATCCACCAACGTCAAAAATGACGCGGTGTAGTCAGACACAGATCCCAGCTGCTTCCACATGTGTAAAGTCTCGCACGCTTTGTCTGAGTCAGGAGCATGCTCAAACCGCTTGCGAAGCTCTGCGCACCACGTTGCCCATGTGCGAATGTGAGTTGCACCAAACAGCAAGTCTGCTTCGTCCTCGTCGCCGAATTCTTCGGACCACTCATGCTGTCCTTCTGTGCGAGTTGCCGTTGAGTCGAGCAACCGCGTCAGGTGGAACACGGCGGAGGAGCAACAGCTCGCTTGGGCGCGACACGACCTCAATGCGCAAATTCTCAGAATGCGCAATCTGCAAGGGCAAAACATTTATGTCAGGATCCACCGCGAGATCAGCAGCCGGCACCCGGGATGGAGGCACAGGCTTGGCGCGGTGAAGGCGAAGCTCTACCGCATGGAGGCCCAGTACCGGCGCATCCATGACCGGCTCTGCGTGTTTGGCGGTCGCCGTCTTCCTCGGTTGCCTGCGTGGTACAAAGTGCTCGACACGTTTTTCGGTGATCGCGCGAACGCTCGTTCGCCCGTGGTTGTGTCGAGCACGACCATGCCGCCGACTAGCGCGTCGGCGAGCGCAGATGTGTTCCGCTTTTGCTACGACTTTTTGTACCAAAAGTGCCCAACAAAATGAAACAAACTATTCGATGAACGCATTCCAAAGATTTGAAACCAAGCAAGCACAAACTAAAACTATGTATCCCCCCCTCCCCCCCCCTCCCCCCCAAATCCTCCTTCCCTCGCAAGTACGGCTTGCTCGATTCCGAGTGGTTCTAGCTCTACTAACAGGCGCCAGCGCACTACCCGTAGCCGCGTGAACGGCGAGCGCGATGCTCGCAGAGCCGGCGAAACGGGCGATGACGAGCCCAAAGGCGGAGTTTCCGACGCCTCCGCCTGCGCTTGTTACTGCGCCGTCAGCCACCGTCGGCGTTGCGGGGGCGGCCGTTATGCCCCGCGGCAGGCGCGTCACTAGGGGGGCGGGGACGGCGGCTGGAGGTGGCGGCGAAGGTTCGTCCACCCGCCCGCCGATCGAAGACGGCATTGAGGGGGGAACCGGGGGGGGAGGGGGTAGAGGTTGGGGGGGGGAGGGAATTGGTGGACGTGATAGGGGTGGCATTGTTACATCCCAAAATTTGGAAAACAGCAAATTTTCCACGCCACAACCTTTTCGGTAAACAATACCCTGCCACAGAGTCGGTAGGCACTGGAAACACCGTTAGTACTCCCTCTGCAAGGCGAGGGAGTACCAAGAATGTATTTGCAAGCGAAGTAGGCCAGTTGCATATACCCACACCCTCGTGACAACCTTGTTGCATCCTCGAGAGAGGCTCGCCACCCTGTGTCACCACCGTTGCGTCGGACGATGTGGGCACGACGCAGCGTGAATGTAAACAAGGAGCGGAACAGTGCACAAGCGACAACCAACAAGCCCGCGCTGCTGCGGGCCGAATGTACAAGGACGGGGGCAGGAGTGTGGCATGAAAATCACGCCACGACCTCCTCTGGCCATGAATCATACATCATCAAATCACAAAACTCTTTACTATATAACAAATTCGACCCAGGCGCAAACGACCCACGATGCTATGATGTTGCATGTACACCTGATGTTATGAATAATAACTGCGAGTGCGCGGAATAATAATGACCAGTACAAGAATGTGAACCTAGCATTATATAGCGAGGACTCTAGCTAAGCGACTAGCCCGGAGGGCTTGGTTGGGTAAAGGCGCGGTCGAAAGGGTCGGATGCGGCGCGGGCGTGCCTCGGGGTCACGTTGAAACGGACCGAGCCTGGTCTTCATGTCAACTTATACATATGCTGTACGTAGAAGTTATAGGCTAGCATAGGTGTGTGCTTCTAGTGAGTACAACCCCAACAGGCACATGTTCTAGCTTTCTCACACTAGTCATTCATTCTTGTTGTGATATACTTGATACTTAGCATTTCTGTAAGTCGATTAGTTGTAGATAGTGTCGAATCTTACTGTAGAGCATAAGTCCGTAGAATGACGTCAGCAAATAGCGCTCGCCATAGGACAATCGTTTCAGTCACGCGAACAGTCGCACCTCTTCATTATCGTTTAGAGCGTATAGCGCGATAGTGACGAACAGGTACATTAGCGAATATGTACTTTTCCTAGAACTATAAATCCTTGTGAGGTCTTTTCATTATTAACTCTGATTATCCACAAGTTCACGTACTCAGGTTACTCAACCTCTGACTAGTATCCTTTACAAGACTTTCGCTGTCTTACTAGTCTAGCATTCCAGTAAAGATCCTAGGCCAACACTTGAGGCAATCCAAGTGTTCGTGTTTGCAGTTTTTATACTTAGTCTTCTACAACATTGGACAAGTTATTTCATGGTATGAGAGCTATCTGGAATTAAGACTACTGTCAACAATGACTGGTTCATCACCAGCACCGTCTGCCGGATCAACTTCCGGAACTACTGGAGTACATGTCTCCACTACCGCCACTGGTCTCTCAGCCTCTGGGCCGTTTCCACCAGCCTATGCTCACATCGGTATGCAACAGCAAAATCCGCCTTCTGTTAACACTCCAGGTATTTCTTCGACTGCACCTGCAGCGCAACAACAACAGTCACAGACAACAGCCCAGCATCCAGCGCCAGTACAGCCACCAGTTTCAACGCAATCAATATCGTCAGCGTTCAGTGGAATGAGCCTTGACGGCTCATGTTATATGCGTGGAGTCACAGCTCCCAGTACTAGTTTGTTCACTTTCTTACCTTCTGTACAGCAGCCGCAGTCGCAGCAGTTTCAGCATCCTTTCTACATTTTTGGTCGTTCTCCTGCTCAGCAACAGCAAAAACAGCAGTATCATCAGCAGCAACAGCAACAGCCTCAACAGCAACAACAGAAACAACAACAACAACAACAACAACAACAACAACAACAACAACAACAACAACAACAACAACAACAACAACAACAACAACAACAACAACAACAACAACAACAACAACAACAACAACAAGAACAAGAACAAGAACAAGAACAAGAACAAGAACAAGAACAAGAACAAGAACAAGAACAAGAACAAGAACAAGAACAAGAACAAGAACAAGAACAAGAACAAGAACAAGAACAAGAACAAGAACAAGAACAAGAACAAGAAAAAAAAACAAGAACAAGAACAAGAACAAGAACAAGAACAAGAACAAGAACAAGAACAAGAACAAGAACAAGAACAAGAACAAGAACAAGAACAAGAACAAGAACAAGAACAAGAACAAGAACAAGAACAAGAACAAGAACAAGAACAAGAACAAGAACAAGAACAAGAACAAGAACAAGAACAAGAACAAGAACAAGAACAAGAACAAGAACAAGAACAAGAACAAGAACAAGAACAAGAACAAGAACAAGAACAAGAACAAGAACAAGAACAACAACAACAACAACAGCAACAGCAACAACAGCAACAGCCGGGTATTATTTTTCGGCCTCCAAATCTACTTAACAGCACACAGATAAAAACCACTATACCTTTTAACGGAGTCGAATTCTACTCCTGGAGCTTTGAGTTTGAGCTACTGGCGCCGTCCGCTGGGTTGTGGCCGTTCTTCACTGGCGAGTTCACGTACCCTGTTGTGGGGACACAACTGGAGCAGCAGAGTTTCTTGCACGCATCTCTCAGGGCTTATACAGTTCTTGTTCGGAACTTGTCGCCGAAGGAGCAGCTCGGCGTCCGATCATTTCACTCAAGCTTTACACCAGCCGAAACTGCTTGGAATCATCTAAAGGGGGTGTACATGGCAAAGGATACAATAACAGGGAGTACAATACTTTCGCAGCTGACAAGTGTGCAGATGATGACAAACGAAAACGTCATGGACTACGTTAATCGCGTCCTTACACTGCGAGATCAACTGGAGAAGAGTGGAGGATACTTCCCTCGTGAGATGTATCTCACAGTACTTCTGGCTGGTCTTGGACCCAAATGGCAACAGACGCGCGCCTTCCTGCGAATCAACCCAAACCTTTCCGAAGCCGAAATCTCTTCATATCTTCAAGCAGAGCAGCAAGATCTTGACCTGCAGTCACAACGCAATCCGAAGAAAGGAGTTCATTTCAGTTTTTACTCCAATCCAGACCCACATCAACGACATCCTCCAAAATATCCATTCTGCCATTTCTGTAAGAAACCTGGACATACTTACCAAAACTGTCGCAGCCGTCATCAAAATCGACGCAGCACTTCTCAGCCATATCACCGATCGCAGCAGTTACCGAAGCCACCACAGCCACCACAGCAGTCGACTACCCAGCAGCAGCAGATGCTGAGACAGCAGCAGAATCCGTCTCCGTCACAGCATCGTCCTCCGGTTTTCGCTTCTGCCACATCAGGAAAAGGGGTTTTTGGGTGTGTTACAACAGTCGATGTTTCAGAAACAGATTTCGAGACACGACTTGAAGAAACCACAAGTGCGGAAGGAATTCCCTTACCTCAAGTTTACGCTAATCTTGCTCGAATAATTTCAGGTCCGAATACTTGGTACCTCGACAGCTGCTGCGGTTGGCACATGTGCTCCGCATAAACAAGTTTGATCACCAACCAGCGTCCACTTCGTCGTCCGATACCAGTCACAGTCGCACACGGACAAACGATTATGGCACGTTCTGTCGGGAGCGTAATGCTCGAATCTATCGACACGGGATACTCACTACATGTTACCAATGTTCTTATCGTCGCTGGTCTTGGCTTCAATCTTCTTTACACGACTCAAATCGTGGCACACAAAATCTGCACACAAGGCAATTGTGACACGATGGATCTGGAGCTCTGGCACAGTTCAACGAATACTTATCTTGGTCGTGCCGCCACTCAACATGGAGTGTCCGTTCTTCAGTTCGCAGCACAAGGAACTTCTGGAGATTCTGAACGTGTGCTTGCACTTGGTCCCTGGGATCACCCAAAAGAAACAGATTATCAGAAAGTGGATATTGATTTTCGAGCAACTTCTGTGCCAACCGCTTCTCGAACTGCCTCCGCCGTACTTACCGCGTTGGATACTTGGGAGTTCAATACAGCCGATGAAGGTGCCAACGCTTGGCGAACGTTTTATAATACTCGTGCAGCCTTCCAAGGAACTCCAGCTCCACTATGGGGGGAAATTAGTGGACTAGCAGCTGATGAACTTGACATCGTTGAAGAAGCCGAACCAGAAGAAGCAGCTGAGCAGCCGAGTCCAACTGTAGCTGTCGCCGAACAAACTGCCACGACATCAACAGAAGCAGTATCAGAAGTTGTAATCGCAACTACAGCAGCAACTTCTCATGTCACGTTACCACTTACATGTTTCGTCGAATGAGAGATTGACAAGTCACCAACGCTTTCTCCTTTCATTCTTTCTTATTTTATACTAACTCCGATTTCTACCTGCGATCATCAGGACACAAAGCTTTAGAAGATATCTTGCATCAACGGTTAGGACATCCATCACAAGGCATACTTAATCATTCGTTCCGAGCAGCCGTTCGTGATTAAAAAAGTCTACTTTTACCTGACGACACGGAGATGAAGCCGCAGTCTCGACCAACGGTTTGCACCACATGTCCGGTTGCCAACCTTACCCACGATCCATTTCCAATTCATTTTCCTGGGTCAACACGTTATAAACTGATGCGGAAAGTCTACAGCGACATATTAAACTTACCTGAAGTACGACCACAAGACGAGAAGTACGTTATAAATTTCATCGAAGCGTCTACACGCTACGTCTGGACAACAAACCTTCCCGCTCGTTATCTCGCGCACTCCGTCTTCGTCGCTGTCGTTGAACGAGAGTCAGGCGTGAAACTACAAGAATTCCAGAGCGATGGTGCAGGGGAGTACACCAGCAACACTTTCACAGAAAACCTTCAGACACTCGGCATCAAACGGAAGCAGTCCCTGCCGCATGCACACCAACAGATGGGGGTAGCAGAAAGGATGAACAGGACTCAGCAGGAGAAGATGCGTGCTCTGCTGACACAGGCAGCCCTTCCACCGCGTTTTTGGCCGTATGTGATGGACCACGCCATGCTGTTACACAATCTTCTTTCTTCAACGTCTCTGCCCGAGTTTTCCTCTCCGCACCTGCAGTGGACACGTACAGTGGGAAGCACCAAACTTTTACGAGTTTCCGGGTGTGTCGTGCAGCTTCGTCCTCCAACTGCAGCACTTGACAAATTTTCAGAAAGGGCAAAATGGGGATTACATCTCGGCATCGAAAAACAGTATCATGTGTGGAAGATTTTGGATCTTTGCTCAAACCAAATCGTTCCTTGACGTGATTGTCTCTTCTATGAAAGACTCACCTTGCCCGTTTTTCGTGCCCATCAAGCAGCAGCTGCCAACCCCGCCAGGCTGTTCGAAGGCTCGCGTGCGTTTGCAACTGACAAAGTCGAAACTGATGTACAGGACGAAGCAGTTTCTGAAGCATCCGAAGCTGCCGCAACTGACATTCCCGAACCTGTAACCTCGACTGGCAGACCAGAGTTTATTCCTCTTGCCGATGCTGACCCTGATGACGTTCGCGAAGTCCATCTCAGTTACGAACGTGATCGCCAACAGCAGCCGATGCCCGCCATTTCCGACGAAGCAGTTCGTGTTACACCTGACGAAATTGGGGGGGAAGAAGGACCAGAAGAAAATTTCGCAGGTGCAAACGAAGAACGTCCGCGTTTTACAGAAACATGATTACAGATACTTGGATTTGCAGTAGCTGTACAGTGCAACGACAGTAAGGTACCTGAACCGAAAACTGGCCGACAAGCTCTTACGAGCCCTCACCGAGAAAAATGGCACGAAGCCATGGACAAGGAGCTTGCAGCTCTGAAGAATCGTGGCACATGGGATTTAATACCGACTTCAGGAGTAAAAGGGAAGAAGGTACGTACCGGAAAATGGGTCTTCCGCGTCAAGACTAATGCAGATGGGTCGATTGAGAAATTCAAGGCGCGATGGGTCGTCCGCGGGTTCGAGCAGACTTATGGCATCGACTACGAACTAACATTTGCTCCTGTCGGTCGACATACAAGCGTTCGGATTCTACTCTGTGTCGCCGCCTGCCGTAATCTACGACTTCGACAAATCGATGTGTCAAATGCGTTTCTCTACGCGCCCGTCGACGCACTCATCCTGTTACCGCATGAACAGGGAATGTATCATCTGACCGACGGCAGTCACTACATTTTACTTGTCGCCTACGTCGACGACATTCTCTATGTCAACACTACTGATTCGCTCGCCGACATCTTTATACTGAAACTACAGAAAAATCTACAGCTTACCGTCAAAGAAACAGTTTCACAGTTTCTCGGTCTGAACATTACCTGTTCACCAACAACGATTCACCTCACTGCTTCTAAGTACGCAGCAACGCTCGCTGCCCGCTTCAATCTCACTCCTACTACAGTCTCTACACCTTACCAATCTCTACCGACTAACTACAAACCGAGTACCACACTGTTAAGTCCAACTGGTTTACAGACCTATCAACAGCAGTTAGGCTGTTTACTCTTCGCCGCTGTTACTTGTCGTCCAGATCAGGCTTACGCGGCCAGTCAGCTCGCTCAGTTCCTACGCCGTCCTGAAGAGGAGCACCACCTTGATCTTCTCCGCACACTTCAATATTTTCATCTCCACACCTGACGTCGGCTTAGTCTACAACGTCATCGGTTGCAAAACACTATATCTACACGGTTTCGTCGACGCCGATCACGCTGCTGACTCTACTAATCAACGTTCGCGCACTGGATTCGTCTACCGGCTTGAACCAATCGGACCTATTTCTTGGAATTCGACGAAGCAGGAGTTGATTGCTCTCTCTTCTGTTGAAGCTGAGTTTATTGCTGTATGCACAGCAACACGCGAAGGACTCTATCTACAGGAACTACTGGAAGAAGCGAAGTTGACGACAACTACCCAGTTTACCCTACAGTGCGACAATCAAAGTGCAATTCGCATCACGCATCAGCCTGGCTTCGGCAACAGGACGACACATATTTGTCTACGTTATTTTTTTGTCAAGGATGAAGTCGAGAAGGGGAGGATGCGATTGGTTTACTGTTCGACCAACGAAATGGCTGCCGATTTCCTCACGAAGAAGCTGACACGACAGAAGTTCCAGTACTGTAACAAACTTTGCGGGATCTTCAAGAAGTGACACTATCGAACTTCCAGAAATGAAGGGGAGTGTTGTGATATAATTGATACTTAGCATTTCTGTAAGTCGATTTGTTGTAGATAGTGTCGAATCTTACTGTAGAGCATAAGTCCGTAGAATGACGTCAGCAAATAGCGCTCGTCATAGGACAGACGTTTCAGTCACGCGAACAGTCGCACCTCTTCATTATCGCTTAGAGCGCATAGCACGAAAGTGACGAACATGTACATTAGCGAATAGGTACTTTTTCTAGAACTATAAATCCTCATTAGGTCTTTTCATTATTAACTCTGATTATCCACAAGTTCACGTACTCAGGTTACTCAACCTCTGACTATTATCCTTTA